GGGATATTGAATGGTTTAAAATTGGGAAAGGTGTGTGCCAGGGTTGTAATGTTTAACCATACTTATTCAATCTGTATGCTGAGCAAGTAACCTGAGAATATGGCTTATATGAAGAAGAACATGGCATCAGGATTGGAGGAAGACTCATTAACAACCTCAATATGCAGATTATACAACCCTGCTTGCTAAAAGGCAAGGATACTTACAATACTTACTGATGAAGATCAAAGACCGTAGCCTTCAGTATAGATTGCATCTCAATTTAGAGAAAACAAAAATCCTCACAACTGGACCAATTAAAAAACATCATAAAGAGGGAGACAAGATTGAAGTTGTCAAAGACTTCGTTTTGCTTGGATTTACAATCAGTGCTAACGGAAGCAGAAGTCGAGAAATCAAATGACTGCAGTTTGCAATGTATTGCATTTTGCAAAATGTGCTGCACAAGACCTCTTTAAAGTGTTGAAGAGCTAAGATGTCAGTTTGAGGACTAAGGTGTGCCTGACCCAAGCATGGGATTTCAATAGTCTCATATGCATGTGAAAGTTGGACAGTGAATAAAGAAGGCCATAGAAGAATTAAGGCATTTGAGTTACAATGTTAGAGAAGAATATTGAAAAGTACCATGGACTGCGAGAAGAATAAACAAATCTGTGTTGGAAGTACAACCAGAATGCTCCTTAGAGGCTAGGATGGCAAGACTTAGTCACTCATACTTTTAACATGTTATCAGAAGGGACCTGTTTCTGGAGAAGGACATCATGCTTGGTAAAGTGGAAGGTAAACAAAACAGAAGACTCCTAACCAGATGGGTTTACCCAGTGGCAGCAGCAATGGGTTCAAGCATAACAACAATTGTGAGGATGGCACAGGACCGTTCTGTTGTGTATAGGGCCGCTGTAAATTGGGGCCAACTTGACGGCCCATCATTCATGTGCTGTGAGACCTCAGGCAACTTAGTTCCTTTCCTGAACCAAATCCCTGGGCCAAGGTGGGCTTCACAGAGTCTCCTCCCTCTCTCCTTTCTTCGCTGTACCCTTTTTCCCCTCTCCCTCCTTTCCTCCTTCTATCAGAAACACCCAATCTCTGCCCCAGCACTGGGACTGTTGCTAGGGGAGAAAAATGGCAAAATCTCTCCCTGTCCTCAAGGCTCTGAGAGGCTCCTTGGGACACAGATGGACATTCTTACATGAAGTATTAGTGAGACAGCAACACGAGGGTTCTAGTACAGCCAGGATGAAGACTCCCAGAACAGGCAGCTGGGATCACACTGGTTGGCCCTGGGGTCAGAGGGTGAGTCCAGCCTTCCCTAGAGACTCTGTGCTTCCAGAATCAATGGGCTGCATAGTCCCATTAACATTGTGCAGAGGACCCTCCCTAGCTGCACGGTCTGGGCCCCGGTCCTAATTAGACCTTCATGGTGTGTCACGCAGCCCTGCTGGCCCGGCTGCCAGCTGTGACTCCTGTTCCATCTGGTGGCCTTGGTTAATGAACCCAAGAGGGGCTGGCCAAACTCATTAAAGCAATGTAAAGGATCAGAGGACCCCTCCTCCACGCTCCCTCGGTCCCTCCTTCTCTCTTCTCCGCCCCCATGTCCACATTGGGAAGGGGAGGGGTGGCATATGAGGCTCCACCCCCACCACACAAAGCCTGGTGTCTACAGACTTGGAATATTCCTGAGACAGCTTAGGTCAAGGTGGGTTTCTGTGTGGGTCTGGGTTTCAGGAATGTCCAAATATCCTGCTGTCTTCAGGTGACCCAAGTCCCCTCTCAGGCTGGGCTGGCAGAACAAGGGTGGCAAGCCCAGATCTTTTCAATCCAGGTCCAAGTACATATTTGGATATGTTACCTTCTCAGAGCTTCAGTGTCCTCATCTTCAAGATGAGCAGAGTAAGAGTTCAGTTAATGCACTCAACAGATTCATACTGTGCTGTTCTTGTGAGTACGCTGGATCAACAAACTGTGGTGCATAAATACAGTGGGGTTATTCAGCTACTAAAATAACTGAGGTGTGGCATTGTAGGATTAGCATTGGACTGGTAGCCGAAAGGTTGGCGGTTCAAATTCACCAGTTGCTCTTGGAAATCCTATACAGGGTGGCTATGAATCAGAACTGATTTGATGGCATACAACAACAATAAATTAAAAGACAGGGAGCTGTTGTTAGCGCATGCATATAACTAAGCGAATAAAGCCAGTCTGAAAGAGCTATAAATTTTATGATTCCAACTACATGATATTCTGGAAAAGGCAAAACCATCCAAACCCCAAAACCCATTTCAGTCAAGTAGATTCCAACTTACAGAGATCCTACAGGACAGAGTAGAACCACCCCCATATAGGTTTCCAAGGCTGTAAATCTTTACAGAAGCAGACTGCCTCATCTTTTCCATGTAGAGCAGCTGGTGGGTTCATACCACAGACCTTCTGGTCAGCAGTTGAGTGCTCAACCACTGCGACACGAGATCTCCTTGGCAAAACCATGGAAGCTGTAAAAAAGGTCAGAGGTTGCCAGGGGTTGAGGATGGATGAACGGGTGGAGCACAGGCCATGGGTCGGCAGCTCAAATCCACCAGTTGCTCCTTGGAAACCCTGTACGGAGTCCCTATGAGTCAGAACTGACTCGACAGAACTTCACAACAATAAAAACATAGCATTATATATTTTGATCATATGTATTTGTCAAAACCCACAGACAGTACAACACAAAGAGTCCTCATAGGACTGCTATGGGTTAATGCGCTGGACCGCAAGGTTGGTTTGAACAGCAAGGTCAGTGGTTCAAATCCGCCATCTGCTCCTTAGAAACCCTACATAGGGTCACTATTAGTCACCAACTCAACAGCACTTAACAACAATGTGAACTATGGATTTTAGTTAGCAATAAAGTGTCAATACTGGTTCATCCATTGTTACAAATGTAGCACACAAGTGCAAGATGCTAATAAGAAAGGAAATAAAGTGTAAGGTGGGAAGGGGTAATGGAATCTCTTCTTTCTGTGCACATAAAATTACTCTAAAAAAACAAAGTATATCAAAAGAGTTAGATAGTCAATAAAGGAAACCAAATGTGAACAGCAGTTGCTTATGAGCAATTTTTTTCCTCCTAGTTTTCTGTATTTTCTAAATTACATATAATGAGCATTTTACTTCTGCCATTTAAAAATACACAAATCTTCAAAAGCATATCAGAAAACAGATTATGTGCATGAAAGGGCCTAGACAGTTTCTGGGAGGAAACTTCCTCCTGACATGAACGTTTCAATTGATGAGATGAGGTAGAAAGGGAAGCATATTATTTGCAAACATATAATAAGTTTTTTGCCCTTTAATGAAGTAATTTCTTATCCCTAAATGTCAAAAATTGAAAACACATAATTGAGTGTTCGAGTACTGTGTCTCAGACTAAGGGAGGTGTTTAGAGGAGTTGAAAGGAAAACAGGAGCTCCTGGGTGATGCAAATGATCAGATGCTGACTGAAAGGTTGGAAGTTCAAGTCAACCTAGAGGTACCTTAGAAGAAAGCCTGGTGATCTACTTCTGAAAAGTCAGCCTATTCTACTCTTACACACACAATGGAGTTGACTTGATGGCACCTGGTTTAGGGGGTTTAAAAGAAGAGAACTCCCTGGCCAGAGCAAAGTACCCAAGAGTACAGTTGGATGAACACAGCAGGGTCAGCCGGGATGAAGTGATCACAGGTCCCCTGGAGTTAAGGTTCATTTGGGGTCAATCACTGGAAGGAGGAAAGGAAAACCCAGGAAAGAAGGCTGAGGAAGATTGTGCTAGGTAAGATGATCTGTAGAAGTGAGTCCTGCATGGGGAACACAGTCCACTCACGGTCTGCTACCTCCTACCTTCTGCAGAGTGTTGGACCCGTGGTGTCAGACCTAGAAACAGTGTGAGCTGGCTCGTGTATAAGGAGCAAGTGGACGAGGCAGCAGAGCCTAGGGTGTGAGAAATTAGGACTGGGGAAGATGTGTGCATTGCTTCTATGGGATGGAACAAGGCAGAGAAACTGGGTGCTGGATGAATGAGGAAGAAGAATGCATGGAGCATCAGTTTCATGAGGAAGAATTTCTAAGGCAATTGTGCTGAAGGCCTTTGGAAGTAGACTGATTGGTCCCCAAGGTGAAAGAGAACTGAATCAGGTCAGGATGTCCTGACATGAGAGAGCCCTGATGGCACAGTGGGTTAGACACTGAGCTGCAAGTTTAGCAGTTCAAAACCACCAGCTACCGGCGGAGAAAGGTGAGGTTGTCTACTCCCATAAAGACTTACTGTCTTGGAAGCCCTACTCAGGGTTGACTGTGAGTTAAATAAAGGAGCCTTGGTCGTGCTGTAGGATAAGCACTGGATAACTGCAAGTTCAATAGTTCAAACCCACCAGCTGCTGCATGGCAGAAAGATGCAGCTTTTTGCTCCTATAAAGATTTACAGTCTCAGAAACTCTACACAGGGTCACTGTGACTCAGAGCTAACTCAGTGGCAGTAAGTTAGGAATTTGGTTTCTTAATCGATGGCAGGGGGTCCTGAAAGGAGGTGGGATGCCTCATCTGGGCACAAAGGGAGCCTTAGCTCAGTGCCTGGGGCTTAGTAACATAATAACAACAATTTACTGAGCATGTTCCTTGTTGTTGTTGTTGTTAACTGCCGTTGAGTCGATTCCGACCCATAGCGACCCTGTATAGGGTTTCCAAGGATCAGATGGTGAGCTTGAACTACCAACCTTGCAGTTCAAACAACTTCGCAGTCTGACGCATTAACCCACAGCACCACAGCATGTTCCTTAGATTACTCACTTATTCCCTCAAGGAACCTTGGGCATAGAAACTATTTCTGTCTCCGTTTTACATATGTGGAAGACTGAGGCTTGCACCTCCAGGGCCTTAAAGGCCCAGCCACCTACCTCCAATGAGCCTTTGCCTTCTTGCTGTCTGCCACTAACTGCCCACCCACTGGCCTTTGCCTCCCTTCTCCCCAGACCTCAGCCCATCTCACTTGAACTGGTGCTCCCGGGAACTGCGGATTTTGGAGGAGAAGCGCTCAGCCAGCTTCTCCAGGCTGCGGGAGTACTCGAGCTCAATCTCAGCTTTCCGTCGGAAAAACTCCTGAAGATCCTGCAGCAGCTGCAGCCTTGACTCGGATTGTTGCTCCAGGCATTTGAACTGCTCCACCAGCTGGGTGCGGATCTCTGTGGGCAAAGGCAAGTGGGGGAGAGCATTAGGCTGGTGATGCAGACAGCAGTGGGACCTCCCCAACTGACCCATGGCCTCAGGCCTGCACTGCAATTCACGCTGCCACCACGCATTATCTCCCAGAGTCTCTCTGAGTCTAATTAGAGAAGGGATCTGAGCTCAAAGACTTGGCACAAGTCCGCTTCTGCCATACAGTCTAACCCAGTGTTTCCACCCTTTTTGCCATATTCACATTAAAAAAAAAAAGTTGTCATTGAATCAGTATCAACCCTTGCAACCCTATGGGTGTCAGAGTAGAACTATACTCCACAGGCTTTTCAGTGACTGATTTTTCAGAACTAGATTTGCAAGACTTTTTTCTTTTTTTTTTTGACTCGCAAGAATGAAGTTATATATTTTTCATATATAAACATCACGCCACCTTTGTTGTATATCAGAAGATGTTCAAGGAAAACTCTGACTCCGAACTGCACACAAAATGACCATTTCAAATAGACTGCCTTTCAAACATGCAGCACTGCCACTGGTAATAAAGCTACAAACAAGATGGAAAGCAAGGGAAGTTGAGAGTTTATTTAAACTTGTCATTGTCTACACTGGCATGCTTTACTTCTCTGCTGCCATCCTTAGCAAACACTCCTTGTCGATCTTGAAGTCTCTGTCTTTCTTCGCTGGATAGATCAGAAGCACCCTTCTCTTGCAGAAGTTGGTAAGATGGGTCATTCCATTTTGGCACCAAGAAGTGCATGCTGCTGTAGCAACATTTCGTAGACACCTGGCTAAGATTCTTCAGAACTTCTGATCCTATGCCAAAGCCTCTATAATCACTCATCACAAAAAAATCCTCAAGATACAATGGCTTGCCAATACCTGGGTCATACGTAAAATTGTTGTTATTGTTGTTAAGTGCCGTCAAGTCGATTCTGACCCATAACGACCCTGCTGTATAGGGTTCCTAAGGGGCAGCTGGTGAGCTTGAATCGCCAATCTTGCAATTCAAACGACTTTGCAATCTGACACATTAGCCCCCAGCACCACACCAGAACTCCATATGTAAAATAATACATGGCTAAAGGAGCTCTGGTAGCGTAGTGGTTACGAATCGGGCTGCGAACCTTAAGGTCAGCGGTTCGAAACTACCAGCTGCACCGCGGGAGAAAGATGAGGCTTTCTACTCCCATAAAGATTTACACCCTCGGAAACCCTATACAGGGTTGCTATGGGTCGGAACCGACTCGATGGCACATAACAACAACAACAAACCAACCATGCTGTGTCCTTCTGGAGTCCTGTGTTCCTTGGGCACTTCCACAGACAGACAGTGGTGGAAAAGTTGCTCTTCAAAACTGTCTTCGAGCAAATCTTTCTTAGTTGGTATTACTCGCTCTTCAATGGATTCATATTTAGACAGTTCCTTGATCGGCCGCAGGAAATGACAGCAGTCGGCGGTGATGGCCGGACAGATCACAAATTTAGCCATTTTTGTCTTTTGCTTTTCTTGCCTTTGCAGACCAAGCCCCTGTACTTGAACATTCGTCTCCCAGGAGCATCATCTTCTCAGTCTGGCCCGCACCATGACTCGGTGACTTCAGCACAGCTGCGAATACAGAACCCCACCAAGCCTTTCTCCCACGGTGCCTTTTAGTTAGCAGCTGAGCATGTTAACCACCAGCATTATTATTTCATCTCAAAAATTGATTCTATTTTCTTACTGAAATGAACTTAAGTTGAAAAAGTTTCATATAACTATATAAGACCATATGCCTTCCTGAGACCTAGGAAATGAATACAATGAAAACAAAAATGTTGTAACATTCAATCTAGGGAGTCTTTTATCACTTGTACTTTGTCAACAGAAAGGAAAGGGTTGTGTGAGATGTAAAAGAAAGACTTTTTCCTGATATAGTCAGCCCCAGGGAGAGCTAAGAGGGCATACCTTTCTATCTTGTGTTCCAGCAATTTAATGCCAGGACTATATAAGAAATCTACTTGGGGAAAGGCCCTGGTGATGCACCATGTAAGCACTCAGCTGCTAATGGAAAGGTTGGTGGTTTGAACCTACCCACTAGCTCCATGAGAGAAGTCTGGAAGCCCACTCCCATAAAAGATGACAATGTAGACAATCCTGTGGGAAGTTCTATTCGATTACATGGGGCACATTACTCAACAGCACCAGATCACAACCACACTTCCATGGACCTCAAAGCCTTCCACCATCTAGTACCAAACTTTGTTCCTCAGGATTCCTCCAGTGGCTTCTCCAAACTATTCAAACCACTCCGTACAGTGCTGGTCCCCCCTGCACAAATGTGCACCTGTCTTTAAAGACAGCTGATGTCATCTTTAGCATGTATCCAAGCTGTATTCTTCAAACTGGGGCAGACCTCTTCTGGAGTACCGGAGACTGCACAAAGGCTGTGCAGGCAGGGGGTTATAAAAGAACCAGTGTCCAGACCCTCAGCATCCTAATGTGCTCTGCCACAGAGCCCAGGTGCACAACTGCTTTCCTCTCTCACCTTCCTCTTCGCAATGTTCCCTCTCCCTCTTTACAAAAGAAAGACCAACTTCTCACTCACCTAGAATCTAATGAGGGTTCAGTGCCCCCAAGGGTCAAAATATCTGAGTGCCAAAAGCAAGATGGGCAATTTTAAATGCTGGTGTTTGCAGCAAGTCCTCCTTTAATCAACTAAAAGAAACCAAACCAATTGCTGTTGAGGTGATTTCAATTTATGACAACCCTAGCTTAGTGGTTACTAATTGGGCTGCGAACCGCAAGGTCAGCAGTTTGAAACTACCAGCTGCTCTGCGGTAGAAAGACAAGACTTTCTGCTCCCGTAAAGATTTACAGCCTCAGAAACCCTGTACAGGGTCACTATGAGTTGGAACCAACTCCACGGCACATAAGAACAAAATGTGTTAGAGTGGATTACAGCAGTGCTGCTAACCGCACAATCAGAAGTTTGAATCTACCTGTCACTCCTTCGGGAGAAAGATGAGGCTTTCTGCTCCTATAAAGATTTACACCACAGAAACCCTATACAGGGTCGCTATAAGTCAGGACAAACTCCACAGCATAAAACCACCAACACCATGTGTCAGAGTAGAACTGTGCTCCACAGGATTTTCAGGTAATTTTTTGGAATTAGACTGCTAGGCCATTTGTTCTTCCAAGTTGTCTCTGGGTGGACTCAAACCACCAAACTTTCTATAGCATCCAAGCTCATGAACTATTTGCACCACCTGGTGACTCTTCCTTTCATCAAGCATTCATAAACGTTTGCTATTCCAAGTGTAAGCCTAGGACCAGCAGCAACAGCATCACCTGGAAGGTTGTAGGCAATGCAGAATCTTAGACCGCTGGGTCAGAATCGGCATTGGTCCTGGGGAGTCTCATGTACCTGAAGGCTTGTGAAGCACGACCAGCAGCCACTTCATCTGTCTCATTATGAGAATTACTTCCCTTACAAATTTATGTTTTTTGTTTAATAATTATATGTCAAATGTATAAAATATTGATGTTATTTTGATGAAGTATGTATTAATGATGATTGTAATGAAAAATCAGTCCCAAAGAAAAAGACACTTAAGAGTTTGAGATCAAAGGAAATTTTTTAGATATCCATTTAAATTTAAATACTATTTTGGGTAAGAAGTATGATAGGGTAATCAATAAAAGTAATTTTGGAAGTGTTCCACACCTTCATCTGGGTACCTACCAGGTACAATTGTAAAAATTAACCAAGCTACACTGAGCTTCTCTTAATTGTGATAATATAATTTGGGAATGAATAAGGATGAGGGATGGGTAACATGATGAACATAATTAATGTCATTAAACTCATTGCTATTGTAAATGTCTTGTCACATACATGTTTACCACAATAAAAACCATTTATGTCTTGCAAACTTGTAAATTCAATAACCAGAGTGGATAAGATACAGAATTTCTCAGCAAACACAGTTTTTGCCATAGAACTCTTGGAATATAAATAGTTTCAGGCCTAAAGAATATGAGATAAGTGATGCTTGGAAAGGTACAAAATATGCTTCTAAATTATGATGATATCTGATCTCCCCATAAAACGTTTTAAAAAGTATAAAATATACGGTCCTGAGAAATGCCAAAAAAACAAAAAACTAAATGAGCTGCACACTTAAGTTCAGTGCATTCTATTGTATTGAACTAATATTTCTATTATTTATAAAACTTAAAATGCTAGGTTATTTAGTTTTCATTTGACACATGTAAAAGAGTAGTAAAATTTTATTTTAAAATATCAATATTTATAATATGGCTGAGACTATATTTTTGTAACTACTTTACACTTACAATGAAGTATTTTAGGTGTCAAGTTAAAATATCTGAGGCAGAAGAGATTGTTGCCCTAAAGTTCATTTAGAGTTCAAGCAAGCAAAACTTGTTAGAAAAACCATTGTGGTAGAGCCACACCAAGCACCACATCTCCTAGACTCCCCAGCCTGCGTCTGAGTTCCCATGCTCACAGTTCATCTCACATGGCATCATACTGTTTTGTTGCTGTTGTCATTGCTTTTGTGTCTGCATCGTTGTTTTTGTTTTAACTCTTTCATGTATGCACTCCACATTGACCTTTCCTGAAACGTGATTTAAGCTCTTTGGTTAGAATCTCCCCAGTACAAAGTAGGCCATGAGTATAGCAACATCTGAATAGTAGATACAATGTACCAAGTGCTTTAATCAAAGTATATTAACTGTCATGATTACTAATGCTCACATACACACACCAAACTTAGATACTGTTATTATTTGTTTTTACATATGAAGAAGTCAAGGTTATCTATAAAACCTGATCAGGGACTTAGCCAAGGTCACACACTGTTCTACGAACTACAGCCAGCTACACAAATACACCTATGTGACCTGTTTATTGAACTTGACTGAGGTACTGTCACCCCTACAAGATCAAGTGCTACCATATTAACACATAATTATAAAAATGCTTCCTAATAGCCATAA